CTTTCCCCCATGTGGATGCTGTCAAGACTGAGGTGATGAGACATGTGCCAGATTACTGTTTGTTAGACTAGAAATAAATTCCACAAAACTTGCTGTAAACTTGTGATGGAATGAATATCCCATTCCTCTGCCCAAACACAGCAACTATTCACAAAAGAAATGCCAGTCCTAGGTACTGTGTATTGAATGTACTGTCAAGATCAGAAGCTTGACAAAGAAAGGATAACATACAATGTTGCACCCTGCCTCCCTGCTTTCTAAATGCCACTGTTAGGAACAGTCTCCCAGTGACAGCTAGACAAATTCCTCTTAGAGTCATTAGAATACATAGTTCAGTTCCATGATCTGGTGACCCACATGAATTACTACTTGACAATTTCATAGTCCATCTCTCAAGAAATGAAATGAAGTAGTTAAGAGAAAGGAAAACAGATTTTTCAAGGGTCAGTGTAGTTGGAGATAAACAAGAGTAACAAACAACATAAACCAAAATATCCTTCCAGGCTCTGCTGTCATCCAGCACCTAAACTTCACCACTGCGGGTCAAAAGCAGCTTGCATTGCCTTTCTCCAGTCCTCCTGAAGTGAGGTAAGAAACAAATAGTAATGGATATAAAGTCCTCATGCATATTGGACATTCAAATAATGGCAGTTGGCATTTATTAATCCACAAGTGCTAAGAACTTCATTTAGTGGCTATAATATAGAGTTTGGCCACAACTTTTGTCATAGTAAAAGGAAGGGACAAACCTCAGATGAGTGCAGAATACACAGGCCTTCAAAAAAGAGCCATAGAAAAGTTAATCTGTCAGAGCTGGGATGGAGCTTTAGTTCTGGCTATTAAGATTGGATTCTTTCTGTTGAGTCCTATACTGGCTCTTTCAATAATAAATGTAAGCAAGTTTGAGAGTTTTCAAGGAACCAGTACCTCATTTAATCTGGGTGATGATGCTAAGAAATAAACTGAGGTAGTCATAATTTTCTCAAGTATACAACAAGCATTATGGATTAAGTATGAAATTTCCCCAAAGACTCATGTGTTGAACACTAATGCCCTCATCGTTTTGTGAGGTTCTGGAAACCTTAGGAGGTGGGACCTACCTTGAAGAAGTAGGTCACCAGGGTCAGATCTGGAGGTGGATCTTGTCTGCAGCCTTTCCTGCTATGTACCTCCCTATCAGCCAATAAGTGAACAGCCTTCTCCATATGCTGTTGCTAGCATGATTTCTACGTGTATGAATGTGAACTCCAACCTCTGAATCTTTCCTCCCTGAGGTTGTTTCTGCTGGGCGCTTTTACCACAACGATGAGTGGGTGTCCAAGGGATAAAAATAATGTCTTCAAAGAATCTGATGTTGTTACTACAGATAAGACGCAAACAAAGCATATTATCATTGGAGAAATGCTACCCTTAAACAAGCATAGCTCATCCAGTAGGTTTCTATTCTAGAAAAGGTAAAAGCTAACACCTGAACTGCCTCCTCTTTCCCACTCTATCATATTAGGTCTTCATTCTTACTGGGCCTAAACCCAACCTCAGAAAGCTGAATACTCTGGTCCACAGAGCCTCAACTGATGACAGGACATATAAGCAAGCCAGATAAAATGTTCTGACTTTCCTCACATTACATAATACATAATAAACATAAGAATATTGTTTTTTCCAAGAACTAAGTTTCTTATTTGTATTCATTTAGACTATCAATTACATAAATAAAATAGAACAGGTATTTAAAAGTGTTCTGAATATATATAAGATAAATGTATGGTATTTACGGACACAGGGAATCTACAGTTTTTTTTTGAAAAAAAAAACCCACCAATCAAATACACAAACAAAAAAACCCCCAAGAAACTCTGGATATGGTTTAGATGAAGAGTCAGTAACCTTTCCTGTAAAGAAGCAGATAGTAAATATTATAAGTTCTGTGGGCCAGTGGTTTGTGATGCAACACGGGCTCTGCAATGACATTGGAAAAGTTGCCACAGACCACACGTAAACTAGTGAGCATGTCTGGGCTCTATCCAACCTAGTTACAAAGCAGATTTCCATGTTATCTTTACAGCACTATGTAGTATCTCTGTTTTGATTCCCCCAATGATTGAACTCTCCCTCTAATATTATAAAAAACTATTCCCAATCTGTAAGCTGAATTTGTACCATAGACAGCCCAGATCTGGTGTTTTCAAAATGGGAATTTCTGGTGGTCTGAAAATGTGACTACTATACCAGCATGAGACTTCCCTTCAACCAAAACAAGCTATAGAGCAATGCAAAAGCAAGAAAGAGGATTCATTTGCTTTACAGGCCAGAAGTTGAGATTTGCAAAAATAAGAATCAATGCCACCCAATTTCAGTACATTTTCCTTATGTTTGGGGAACAGTCACATTTCATGTCCAATGTTGCCTATACTTAACACTAATGAGCATGACTTTTAAAAATAGATTATTATTATTATTATTTTAATCTTCAGTTCTGGTTTCCAATAGGATCTACAAGTCACACACAGCATGTGACCCAGGACCTGAGAAGTACATTTTCAGTATGCTAAGGGACATGGGATCACAGAGCTTGAGAGCCAGCTGCCTATCTACAGCAGGATGCACTGGGAGTACAGTAGAGAATACCTAGTCCTGTCCACCAGACTCAACCACCTTCACCACCACCTTGACCTAACCCCGTTCAAGAACTACCTGACACTTCTCTGACTGAATTATGATTTGATAACTTAAATCCCCTGCAATTATACCTCACATGAGGAATATGGAGAAAATATCATGGTTGCTTACATAAAAGAACAACCCTTTACATACACACTTCAGTTGTTTTTATCTTTAAGACAGTCTTGTCATATAGCCCTGGCTAGCCTGGGACTCACTGTGTAGTCCAAGCTGGCCTCACACAGAAGTGACCCTCTTGTCTCTACCTCCTGAGTGCTGGGATTGATTATAGGTGCATGTCATCATGCCCACAGGGTTCTCACTATGGCTTTTAATTCATCAAAACGGGCAAGTAGAGGTGAGGGTCTTTGTCTGTGCCTCTGTCCCTCCCTCCCTCCCTCCCTCTCATTTCTATTTTCCAATTTTTAAAAACAAAACATTATTACTACAAATTATAACAACTCCTTAACTCCAGAACACATTTCAAAGTGGATCCATTAGCCCATGTAATAATTCACAGTGTACCTCAGATCTAGACACAATCACTGTGCAAGCCTGGTCCATGAGGACCACCACAGCAGAGTAAAATCTAAAGAAGAAAGACTATCAGACATGCTACAAATGTAACTGGCAGTGCTCAAAACACTAAGCGAAGAATTCCATTTTGCAAGCACCACAAAAGCATCTTATATAGCACTTTAAAAGAGTATTGATATTTTGTTTGCTCTGCTATTTAAGACCAGGACCTTTTAAAATAACATTTCAGGGGAAATTAAAGGGAAACTTCTGTTAATCCCAGTGTTGCAATGCATGGGGAACTCTTACATAAGGAAGTGTTCTTTTCAATATAAATTTACTTTGTCATTAGATTTAACTATCCAAATGATGTGTATGGCTGGACCTGAGAAAACACATCTCTCTTCTCTCCCTTTTCTCTTTCTCTCTCCCCATATTAAAAAAATAATAATCACAATTCAAGCATTAATTTGGTTGCATTATATGCTCCTGATTAGAAATTTCTCCAAGACCATATTATTCTAAAATTCACTATAGTTTCTTTTATGGAACAATAACTTTGTGAATAAGTAACAAAGGGGGAAAATACACTTTTTATATATTTATTCTTTGGTTTTATTACAAAATACCTTTAAAGTAAGAGATGACACATTAGGACTGTCATAAGTTACAAACATGGCTGCTACGACACACATAAAGACTAAAAGCCCCATCATCCTTCTTCTGGGGATTATGCTCTATTTGGGGAAAAAGCACAAAATTACTTGAGAAAGATTTTGATAGTGACAATGTTCAATGAAGAACCAAATAGAGGAAAAATGCTTACTATTTAAATCTACAGAACAGCAATAGTCTCATCATGATTGCAAAACATTCTAAATTGTGAAACTTAAGTTATTTGTAAAATAGACAAAAGTGAAGCAGCTTCTTCAGTCATTTTTGAGATCTCAGCACCAATTTAAAGAAAATATTTTACTTAAAAGAAAGCCAACTTCAAAACACAGATCGCTACATTGAGTACACAGAAAGACATAAAATGAATTTATGTCACACATGACATTCCTGCTCAGTTGGTATACAAGTAAATGTGAAAGAAGACTAATGTTCAAAAGGGAAGAAAAGCGAATCATTTTTCTCTACAATTCTTTAAGGAACAAACGAGTCTCAATCCTAAAACAAACAAATCAAAAAAATTCTACACAACTAAACAGCTGCTGAGACACAGAGGAAAAAAAAAAAGATCCAACTCACTAACATTGTTTTGAGGACCACATGGAGAGACAGGAATGGATGGGCACTGTGGAGATCTATTATTTCTGGTACACTCTGTAAGGTGTGTGTGTGTAAAATGAATTATTTTCCTCACTCTCATTTTCAGTCAAAACCCTAAATGTAACTGTTATTTAAGACAATTTAAAAATCACATGGAATGTACAGTGCCCTGGGGTACAGTATCAGAGAGACTTTGATCACATCTGGGAGGGCTCCCTGAGGAAGCCTCACCAATGCTGCCCCACAGTAGCAAATGAGAACAAATGTACTTTGGAGCTTGGCACAGCAGTTTATATTTTGAAAGAATTACCACTGTCATTTTAATAAAATGATTTTTCGTTTTATTTTTCCCCCAATTCCCTCCCCAGGAGTGAGACACTTTGTGGAAACTGTTGGCTTTCAGAAATGGACAGGCAATTGGAACCAGTATTAGACAAACACACAACTGCAACAAGACAAGCCATTCCGGCAGAGGATGGAGCAAGCAGAGAAGCGGACACTGCTCACAGTCAGGCCCCTCATTTCAAGCCAAAGCGAAGCGGCTGACTTACATTGCTTCTTCAGCTCCCTCAGCTGCTGCTTGTACTGCACGAACTTTTCATTCTCTTTAAAGTCGGAGTCAGAGTTCCTATCCTGTAAAGCCAAAAATTTCTTCTCCACCAGTAACTTTAAATCTGGTACTTTCTCTGGACGTTCTTCTTTTACCTAAGAAAGACCATAAATTCATGTTCATTAGAGATAATGAGTATTAACAAGGGCTATACAACTGTCTTAATCTCATTTAATTCAAAAGACAGTATGAGAGAAAACAGATTCTCCCAGGAGACTTGCCCACCCTGCCTTCCTTCTCCACACAGCCTGTCACCGTGTCCATAAACTTGCTGAACCCTGCAGAAGAGGCAAGTGGCCCAGACCTGGGCATCAGTGTTCTTCCTTCACCTGGATCTGCTCAGCCCATCTCTACACGTAACAGTGTTCATTCCATTTTCAGTCTCAGCATCCTCTTTAGCCCTTGACCAGTTGGCGAGTGATTCCCACGTTAACAAGAGAAACTGAGGGTTGACTTTCCACAGTTCCCTGGACTAACAAGGAGCTGAGTGTCCTGCTTGTTCTGTTCAAGGATGAACACTCAATGTATGTTCTTCTCCCTAATATTATAAAGTTCAGCCGTGCGGAAATATTAGAGGTATTGGACCTTCAACGCTATGTACGTACGTCCTTCACTGGGCAGTTACTATCCAGCTGTTTGCACCATCACATCTCTTCCCATCTATGCTGCTCTTGAGTCTGTCTTAAGTAGCTTCCTTAGACCTTCATCTCCTTTAGAACACATGCGCAGCAGCAGCAGCAGCAGCAGCAGCAGCAGCAGCAGCAGCAGCAGCAGCAGCAGCAGCAGCAATTATTGGAAGTCTGGAGCGTCTTCCCAGGCACTTGCTTTTTGAGAGTAGCCCATACTTTTGTGGTTTCCACTCTGTTTTGATGGAATGTTGACAGCACCTTGGTTTAAACAGTTTGTTCCCCTTCAACAGGGCAGTTGGAGACCTCTGAGGTTGGGTCTACTCTTCCAAGAACTGGCTAGGGAAAGCTGAAGAAAGCCATTTCCTCTTCTACAAAGTAATTATAAATGTTGCTGATGTCTTAAATGTTTTCACTACCTGCACTCCCACTCATTCCTCACCAATTTCTGACTGTAAAAGCTTTTTAAAGCCAAACAGTTCCATCCAAAAGGCAAGATTTCTAGTGAGGAGAAAACAATAAGCAATTTAGCCTTTACTACCCAGACCTCTAGGAATAATTGTAGGACAAGACAGAGAGGATGGCTGGCAAAGCAACTGCCTGCCTGGTGAAGAGTAAACCTACAAGCTCCCTGACGGCAAACTCATGGAGCTGCTGCCAGCACAAGCTAGCTCTTCACAAGTCTTAGGGCTTGGAGGAAAAAGGTATCCATCCTGGCAGTTGGGAGTCAAGGGATACCACAGTCACAACCCACAATACACCTTACAAGCGGTTACTGGGAGGGAAAACCCAGGAGGATGGCAGCAGAGAACTGAGCACATGACAGGAAGCTGGGAGTGGCAGAGCTTTTCAGAGTCGCCCAGGATTGGAAGGATTTTGTGGTTTGATCTTAGGGCAAGCTAGGAGAGTTGGTAGTTTGTTTTCGTTTTTCCTGTAGGATGGGGCCTGGCCATTCTCCTACCCGGGGGGGGGGGGGGGGGGGGGGGGGAGAGTGGTTACATCCATTTGGGAAGTCTGGGAGTTGTCCAGTGGAGCTCCTCAGGGGCAGAGCCTGGCCACTTACACACCTGGAGAGGTCAGGCCTGGCCACCAGAATAGTTCAGGGTTGGAGCCTGATGGTCAGAGGGCTGCAGAGGAAGGGCTTACAATGGGAAAGTTGGTGTGAATAGCCAACATTTCATCTCCTCAGAACCCACCAGAGATGACATAACCTTCCATATTACAGATATGAAAGTGAAAAATTAGACATAACAGGTCTTGTACACAGCACTGGGGCTACCACTATTAACTCTGATTTCATTTAGTCGTGGAGGTTGGACCTGTTTCATGCTAAACATATGCTCTACCACTAGTTATACCCCAGCCTCTGCTGGAAAATCTTAAACACCAGTGATATTTGTCTCTTGGCCTATCAGTGATGTTTATATAATCTGATTTTAGAAAAAGAGAAAGGTCTTGATACCAGTTTTGTAACACTCTTATCTCTTTTCTTGGATCTTTATTATTTTAAATTATGTGCATGTATATGTGTCTCTGTGTGGGTATGTGCATTTTACAGGTGCTCACAGACGTACACATGTTGGACAGTCTCTCCAAACTCAGGACTTCTGGAAGAGCAGACACCTCTCCAGGTCTTACTTTCTATTTCCATTCTAGCTGCTTCCTTACCACATCCCTGCTTCTCCTGCTTTGCTCACCATTGTGCTGACATTCACTAAACATGCTTGCAACATTGTCTTTTTTTTCTGACTAAGACAAAAACTCTTTGGACACTGTCTGATTTACCACTATTTCCAGTACCTGACAGATAGATAGGAGGTACTACTCTAAAGAGATCAAGTTAATCTTAATAGGATCAAACACTTAATCTTCTAACACCCCAAATCATCAACCTGTTATTAATATTAGTAGAATATATAACTTTTACACTAGAAGACAGCTTATAGAGCAGCCAAACTTGCTCTTTTTAATCAGCTTAAAAACTTAAATAATATAAAAAGAAGTTAAAGGGCTCAACTTCTCCCCTCTAATCAGAGAAACTTCCTGATTTTATTTCAAACTAATGAGATGTCTTTCTAATTTCTCAGAACCTACCAATCACATCCAAGCAAGTGCTGTGATCACCTTTTGTCGGGGGGGGGGGGGGAGACAATTTTCTTTGCTTAATCACTATGATTTCAGTTAGCTGGGCAGAATGACAATGTAAGCAGGACTAAAAATGCCCCAAATTCATGCTTATGTGACAGAGTGAAGGAAGTGTCTTATACTGATGTCACTTCCACCACTGCTGGTCGATCCAGAAAGTAACCAGCAAATAAGGCAGACAGTAAGGAGTGCAGAGAAAGAAGAGCCATAGTAAACAGTGGTGTGAGTCTAATGGCCCTTGAATCTGGCCAAGGGACCCGTGTTCAGGTAAGCTGAATTTGAGGAACTCCTGGAAGAGACCGTCTGGAGATGGAGATGGAGGAAGTGACTGAGTGAGAGCAGGTGAGAGCCAGGGAAGTCATAAACAACCTCAATTTACTTCCAGATTGTTCTTTCTCCACTCATTGCTGACTGTTTTCCTAGGGTTTCCTAGAAGTACATCCCTCTAAGCAGATATCACTTCACCATCAACTGCTACCATGAAAAGCAAAGATGGACTTCCAGGACAAGTTTTATATTGAATAAAAATTTCTAAATGACCCCCAAAAGGCTAAAGAACCAATAAAGCTCAATCAGACAAGAGAAGGTATTTAGGCAATAATGTGTACGAAGAGAGTAAGAGCTGTGAGGCACAGTGACTAGCTAGCCTCCTCTACTGCACTGACAAAGCAAGATGAGACGTGCTCCAGGCTACATCAGGAAGAGCACAGGATAACCTAGAGCTAAACTGCTCTTCTTAGAAAAGGACCACAGGCTCTTTCCAGGTTTACAGAACCAAGTGACCCACATTCACTGCTCTCTTAGACTGTTAATGGCAGCACTGCAGAAAGGCCTTTGAGTGTGGACCAGTCTGTGATGAGGACATACGCTGAGATGATGAGCAAAAGCTCTGACAAGAGCAGATGATAAGGACAACTCAAACGTCCTTCATCAGCCCAGTCATCAATGCACGCGGCAAATGTAACTCCTGTGACTCCCACGATTCAATACAATAGCTATGGAAGCACTGAACAGAAGGCCAGCAGGAACAGGGGTGTGTGGAGACTAATGATGGAAAGAGGCTTCATCATTTGAAGTCAACAAGACTGCAATGTGAAACATGACAAGAAACACCACAATGAACTAAAACTACTGTCTAAATGTTTTTCTATTAGCCAAAACATCCAGGAAGTTGGAAAGCTTTATTATAAAACTTTAGCACATCAAATATTGTCTATGAAAGTCCATTTTGCATTTGCATACATTTCCAGTGCAAAGAGAATTTACTGTACCCAAGAAATCTGAATGATAGCCTAGAAAATAACTCATTATGTGTCAGCCAGTGTAATTACTGGGGGGTATTTTTGATGGTTTCTTGTTTTGTCTGTATTTTTAAGGGAAATAGGGAGAACTTCACCCCCTTCTTGTGTGTATGTGTGTGTGTGTATAACTGATCATGTATGCTATTCTAGTACATGGAAAATAAAGGTGGTCCACTTTCCTGAGGGCAAAGTTCAAAATACTTAAAAGAAATCTGAGATAAAAGGTTGTCAGTTCCAGTCACTTACCAATAAGAGCATGCCCAGATATAAGTGTAAGCCCACCACATATGTATCAATTTGACAAAAGTGCTATTATGAAGCACCAAGGTTTATTAGGTGATTTAATGAACAGGAATTCGCTTTTACAGTTCTAAAGTCTAGAAATTCAAGATGACGGAGACAGACGGGCTGGTTTCTTTACTGGGCTTGTAGTCTATCTTCTCCTACACTGTGATGCGGACTTCTTCCTCTTTTCCGTGCCACTGCATGGTCTCCTGATGTAAACGCTGTCTTCTCTCAGCAGATGGGCTGATTAATCTGCTCTTCTGTTATGAGCCATGTTGGACTAAGGTCGACTAAATGACTGCAGTGAGCTTACGTTATCTCTTTATTCATTTTTTGTGGAAATAAAATCATGTTTATAATTCTTGATTAATATTGAGAAATTTTTACTCATCTATTTATTTACTTATTTTTAATGTTATTATGCATGTTTGAGTGTGGTTTTATACATATGAGTGTAACACCCTCAAAAGCCAGAAGACGGTGTTGGATCCCCCACTAGAGGTGAAATTACATGTGGTTGTAATCTGCCAGGTATGGGTGCTGGAAACTGAACTCAGGGCTTCTGAAAGGGCAGCAAGCACTCTTAACTGCTAAGCCATGTCTCCAGCCTCTCAAATGGATTCTCCAACACGGCATATCAACAAGTTCCTCGAGTGATAAAAATTCAGGTTAAAGTTGAACTTTAATTAAAAGTCAGACAAAATTGGATAATTGGTGGTAGAAATAACTTGTTTATGG